TTCCATCAGAGGCCTTCTCTTACCCTTTACTATTTTAATCTTCAGTTATTTAATTAAATGTTTAATATATAATATATGGTATGATATGGTAAATTTATACAAAATATGAAAACTATATAAAAAGCACGAAAATTTCAATTAAAATCATAATAGAGCTCAAAAATGCAAAAAAAGATATAATTCCGATAGCGGCCAAAATTCAGGTCTGAAAGGGTTAAGAAGGGAGTCCTACATTCCACCTTTTAGTAATCCTGTCCTGTCTCCCCCTGCATGAGGGAGAGGCTTACATAGTGCACATGGGCCTACACATTTATCATTAGGCTTAATCAATCCAGATGGGGGTTAACAAGGTGAACATGCAAGACAGGGGATGGACAAGAGGGGATGACAATGAGCTCATCCAGAGAAGTGGGTCTCATTTATTTCTCTTATCTTATTTAGTCAGTAATGATGCACTTACATCTGTCTACAAAACTGTCTGGTTTCCTAACTGAAATGCTTTTGCACGTTCTTCATAGGGGGGGGAAGGTCAAAGGGAAAAGTGTGAGAACCCATATATTCATTAAATTTTAATGTCTCAATCCATTTGGAATCTTAATAATGGTTCTGTATTACTTTTTTGTACCTACACAGGTTCTAGAAGTACTTCTTATGAGCCAGTCCAGCAACATCAGTGGTGCTAATGCTACAATTAGATCTGAATAACTCTTCTCACACAATGATAATTAAAGCACATTCAACTAATCAAAGGAGTTCCAATATTCTGCTGCAAAACTTCTGTTGAATGTGCATGCAATGTTAGCACTAGGACTGTCACGATAGCAGCTTTCAAAACATTGATGCATCAGGGAAGGGGGGGTATGCATCGAAAGATTCAAACTTTTCTCATTGCGATCAGGTGGGGGGTTGTCTTCCATCATTTCTTGCCTCAATTGGAACACAGACCTCTATCCATCTTCCACATTCTCACACTTGTGATCAGTGGGTGCAGGGGAAGATATGACCTTCTCAGGGAGTAATTAAACCTACCATGCCTCCAATTATCAAAGATGACATCCATTCATCGATAGATGCATCAGGACAGCCTTAACTTTTTCTTATTCCTGTTGAGAATCAGTTGTCAAGCCTGTTCATGTAATTTTTTCTTTTTTTCTTCATTCTACATGGTGTTCTTTGAACATTGGCACTGGTTGATATCGAACCTGACAATAGTGTCATACTGGCAGTTGCTGAAACATCGATACAGTCCTAGAATAAGCAACGTCCATGTAAAAAATTCACTTTGAGTTCACCTTAAGTAGAGATAAATGTCCCAGGGCAAGTTAAAAATTAAGAAAGTTAAGCCTGCATACTAAAGTGATAGGAACATAGAGAGGGGATTAAACAATGTAGGTTTCGAAATCAAGGAAGTATAAGAACAGTCCACTTCTGCAGCATGCACCTGATGAGATAGAACTGAAGACAGAAATAGAAGAAAAAAAAATCTTCTTGGTCTTCTCTCCTCTCCCACTTCCTATCTCTGATCCAACTTTTTTTTCCCTTCCCATCTTTCTTATAGTCAGTCCCAGCATTCCCAGAATTTGATTGTGATAAGATATCACAAGCCCATGCAGGTCATGTGCTTCTTCCTTTCCCTGCCCAGACGGACTGTATTTTACTGTACTCACCTCAATCCAATGGGACATTTCCCCATTAAAATACTTTGCCGATGCATCACGATGGTCGAAAAAACTATTGATAGTGGTATCAATGCATTGGTCTATCATGACAGCCCTAGGTAGCACTGATTTTTTATTGTTATTTTTCAAGATATAATAACTTTGTATTGTGAGGAGTAGACTTGGTGTTTGAGACACAACTGCACACTTTCATGAATAAATGTAATGTTGAGTTGAACAATTCTGGCAAGAGTGTAAAAAACAAAACACTGCAATGACAATGGATTCATTAAATGCAAGGAATCTGCAGGAGTCAGTTTGATACTAGGTCAGTTTGACCTATATGCATGTCTTCTGGCATTGTTGCTGGAGTAAAACTTACATAGAATGGGGTTCTATGGGAATTTTGAACAAACAAACAGTCCTGAATCTCATGGATTGATCAATCATTCCCAAATAGTTTTGACAAATACTCAATATGATAAAAAGTTTAACCATGGTAATAACTCAGAGCATCCCCCAACAAGTCCTACCCTTTATGTGGGAGGATCTTGGGAAAGCTCTCAATGGGATGAGTCTGCAGTAGATGGCAGTTTTCAAATGAGAATCTATAAAGATACATATGAAGCTTGAATAAACTTGCATTTTCCACACCATGGATAAAGTTATAGGCTCATGGTCAGGATAGCTTAAATAGGGACCCACAACAGTCCCCCTATATAATACTACAGGGATTTTGACTGAAGGTGTACATTCCAGTGAATAAGTCCATACTCCACAAAATGTGAGGGAAAACTAACCGGTAAATGCGGCAGACAGCTTGAGTATCATGACATGGATTCCAGGAGGCATCAAAGACAATAACTCGATTTGCACCAACTAGGTTGATTCCTAGGCTCCCAGCCCGAGTAGACACAAGGAAGAGGTGAATGTTGGAATTGTTATTGAACTCATTGATGAGCTTCTCTCGTTCAAGTGCAGCTGTGCTTCCATCCAAACCTGTGAATTCACCCATCCAATCATAAAAATTGGCCCATGCTCCAGCAAAACCTGGAATTAGCCTGAAAAACAAAACTCACGAAAATAGTTTATGTTACGAGTCCATTTTTCAGAGAGCTTGGGAACAGTTCTCCTATGAAGAAAGTCCTCAATCAGGTTGAGAGTGAGAAGCGATTGTGAGAAAAGAAGGACCCTGTCCCCCATTTCCAGACTTTTCTCAATGATGTAGAAAGCAATCTCCATCTTGTAAGAGCTCTCTATTAGTCCACTTGAATAGCCACGGAAGATGGGGATGGCCTTAAAATAGTAATAATAAAGAGATTAAATACACAAAATATAACTATAAACTTGGAATGATTTAGACAATATCTTTATTAAGTACCCAGTCATAGTTGATCTGAGCATCTCCTTTGTCACGGAAAGATACCAAGCTTGTGCTCTGGCTCTTCTCATCCTGTGACATGCGAGGGCTAGCAACTTGATTGTTGTTTGAAGCAGAGTCTCCACTGGAAGTAGGTTGTTCATTTCTTGTCTTGGAGAAATCCATGCCAAGTTCCTCCATGTCAGGATCCTCCCCTTTTTCCTTCTTGCAGAGGAAGTTATAGAGGATGTCAGTATGGTTCCAGATTTTGCAACAAACAGAGAAGGCACGGATGGGATTGGTCATGGTCCCTGAATCCTCTAGGTCCATGAGGAAAGCTTGGTAGAGTTTCCTCTGCAGGGGAGTCATGCGAATCAACAACACCCATTCTTCTTTTTGGGGAAGATGAGACTGGAGAACATCATGTCCTCTCCTGAAAAAATAAATTCATTTTACATTTGTACTGCTTGTGGGAAACCTCAATTAAACACTGCAAGCACTTACCTTTGTACAAAGCCTTGAACAAGAGAGTGAAGAACATGCGCACGGTAGCGCATGAGACGAACATCACTCGGGGTGCTGTCAACACACTGACCGTTTTGAATTGGCCTCTCAAACATGTTGCTGAATTCAGTCTTGGTTCCCAAGTAGTTTGGGCGAACGAAGTCTACCATGCACCAGTATTCTAGATCAACAATGATTCAAAAGAAATAAGATGATGATCATCCATATATATTGAGAATGCAGGGATTGGCTCAGAAATAGCACCAAGATCAACCAACATATTGTTCTCCAACATGAATAGATGAAGCCAACTTCCATTAAATAACTTAATCCCCTCAGATCTAAATGAATATATAGCAAGGCATGAGCAGCAAATATGGCATTTTTCACCAGGAATGTTCAGTATCCACTGCTACAGAGTCACAAAACAGGACAGGAAAATATTCTGCAGTAATGGAACATAATTATGACAAATTTTTCTCATTTATTGCATGCGAACCAGAAAAAATGCAGCATATTTCCCCACCCCACATCCTCACTGAACTAACCAACTTGGCATTGAAAGAGAAAAATTCTTCTGCAAACAGATATGTAGGACTGACGATGATCAAGGGTAGTAAAAATTAACCAGTGAAAATTATACCCACCTGTTTGATGTCTCAAGTCAGACATTAAATAATTGTTCTTAATTTACACCAGCCAGACAACAACTTTCCTTACCCTCTCCTCCCTCTAGCTGAAAATGCAGTCCAAAGATAGCCCAAGATAAAGACATTTTTAAGGCATGATAATAGGCAATGGAAACTTGCATGGAGGGGAGGGGGAAGGGAGACAGTTCATTTACTCCTCATTCACAAAGCCATCTGATTTTCACTAACCAGGCAGATTTCATTCACCAAACTGCAAAATGTGCTCACTGCTAGCAAATGGCAATTTTACAGGGCCATCTTAAGTATTGACAACTTTGAAATTGATCAGTTTTGAGGTTTTTAGGCCATTCTCTAATATAAGCTGGAGTCTTTAAAAAATTATAACCACTTCTTACAAATGACAAAAACCGAATACATCATACAAAAAATTTTCCTTTAAACAGAAAGGAGCAAACTATCCAATTGCACTGTTTTCATTAAATCCTGTAGAAAGAAAGTCAGCTAAAGGCATTATCTTTAAGATTGCATTAGACCATCAGGAAAAAATTAAAATTATTGAAACTGTTACTGGATGCTGTTACTAGGGCATTAGTTCCTGCATCCAGTTTCACTGTAACAGGGCTTTACAATAAAATGGTTCTGAACTTCTGAGATGATTCTGTGAGTTCAACCATGTAGGCAATAATTACTTTATTCTGTATGCCTTCAGATGCAATGCAGACTACAAAAAAGGAAATAAAGAGATAAGTTCCATGAGCTTACCCAAGAGATTGTTTTGAAGGGGGTAACCAGTAAGAACCATTCGTCGACGTGTACGAATACTCTTTAGGGACTGAGAGATGCTGGCATGGATGTTCTTTATGCGATGGCCTTCATCACACACAACCAGATCAGGACCAGGTTTGTTCAATGCACAGATCACCTCTGGAAAATCACAAAAGTAATGAGTAAAGGAATTCACATGCCGAGATACACTGCACAACGTGAGTATGCCCACAGATTGATAAATACCTTCCAACAACTGTCGATTTCGTGCTTCCTCCTCTATATCTGTTGGCAGGAACCCCAAATTCTTTTTCTTTCGCTTGCCAGTGTGTAGAGCTTTCCTAGAGACCAGATGACGGTACATCTCATAACCCATCAGCAGAACTCCACCAAGACTTTTCCACTCAAGTATAACCTGTAAAAGGTTTGCACTCAAATGATGACACTAAAAAAATTAATATCCAAGAGTAGCAGGATAAGGCATTTTACCTTTGCACGTGAGAAAAGGGTCTTGTGCAAGTCATTAAGAACATGGATGTTAAAGGGTCGAGGCCGAACTTCTCCATCAAGAGAATGAATTGATTGTGAGGCAACTTCTGGCAGCCAATAATTAAATTCTGACAGCCAATTCTGAACTGTGTTAATTGGCACAATGATGAGGACAGTTCGAGCAGGAGTGTGACGGTGAAGGATGTCACAAAAAGCAACCACCTGAAATGAAAGCCAGAAAGCTTTGCATTTTTGCTGCAGTGACAGAAACATTCATGGATTTGTACGATATCCTTACCTGAAGTGTCTTGCCAAGTCCCATAGAATGTGCTAAAATGCAGCCAAACCCATTGCTGTCAGAATACCTATCCAAGCTCTCAACAATGTTGTCGTACAGAAATCGAATGCCTCCGATCTGAAAGGCAACCAATGGAACATGTCTACATCTCAATGGCAATGAGGAGGATAATGAAGTCAAGAGAGGGACAAGAATCATTGGAAAGACCTGATGTGGCTTGACTGCACGTGCAATTTGAGGTGCAAGGAAGATGTCAGGATCTCCATCAGGGTGACCAACATTGACAATAACCCTTCCGAACTCATCAGGTTGATTAAAGGCATCATTCACATGAGCACCAGAATTTCCATAATCCTCCTCTTCCTCAGTGGAAGTATTGATCTCAGACACCAGTTGGATTTCATCTTCCCCCTCTTCATCACTGCTACCAATTTCTATGACATCACCTGACAAGAGATACAATCACGTATTTTGTAATCAAGGAGAACCACATTTTCATTGCACAAATGTATTCCTCACCTTTTTTCTTTTTCTTCACTGAATCACCAAGATCAACCTCAGGAATTTCATCCTGGCTTGGCTCTTCTTTTATTGTCACCTGTAACAATGAAGCCTTGGTCAACCTCTGGTCAAGTTCATTGAGCATGTGCCTCTGACAAAAGCTGGAAGCAGCATATTAGACTTTGCAAAATAGGGTCAGACTATCACTCACCATAATATCAGGCCCAAATGACTTTCTCTTGGCTTCTAGAAGACGTCTTTGTCTTTCCCTTTCTTCTTTCTGGGCTGCAAGAGTCTCCTCATCTAACTCTGTTTCCTTAATCAGTTTCCTGATGTTCTTGCGCATCCAGCCTTTCTTTTCCTTCTTCTTGCGTTTCTTGCCTCGCCTTTCCTTTTTCTTATGTGCATCCTTCATCTCTTCATGTTCACCTGAAAGGGTCTTATCTCTTGAATGCTTACGTTTCCTCACTTTGCTCATTTCATTCCCTTCTTCCTGTACAGATTCATCTTCCTCCTCTTCTTCACTATCAGAGTCATCCTCCTGGTCACTATCATCACTATCACTCCTTTCTTCTCCCTCACTTTCATCCTTCATAGACTCATCAGAATCGGCAACTTGGTCATCTTCATTATCATTTTCCTCCTCCTTCTCATCACCTTCACTGTTTTGTTCTTCTTCATCTTCTGGTTCATTATCTTCATCATCCTCCACTAATTTGTCCAACTGTTGATTGTGCTTAGTCTCTTCTTTTTCTGGTTGCTTCTCATCCATATCATCCATCTGAAATGCAAAGCTCTCTCCTATCTCTTCCTTTTTCACTGTTCTGTCATTCCCATTGCAGACTGGAACCATCTGATCACATTTCACTTCTTCAACAGGTGGCAAGCACCGCTCAGTCTTCACAGACAAGTCACAAACATCCATTTTCCCATCATCACTTTCAACCTTGAGGTTGAGAACAATGTCCTTCTCAAACTTCCTCCCCAAAACCTCAGACAAGCCTAAACTTGTCATTGGGCTAGGGACTGTAGGACACTGGTTCAAGTCTTCTCCATCACATTTTCCATTATTGGGGAGGCCTGTATCATCTTCCTCCATCTCCTTCCCTGCTAACGTTAGACCTAGACCTACTACCAAATTTCCATCAGGTTCATTGTTTTAGGTGTTCTTGAACTCTCATAAAAAATGCAAAGAGGCCTAGGCTAGGTCGACCTAGGGTTACGCCTAGGCCTATCCACAACCATCTACAGTTGGGCTTAGGCAAAACAGTTAGGCTACGCCTAGGGCCTACGACGTTAATGCCTAACAAGGTCACGATCACGCTAGGAGCTACGTAAATGTCGGGCCAACGGATGCCTAGATAGCAGCGCGGTAGCCCTCGTAGGGACAAATGCACAAGACTAGGCCTGTTACAGGGAAAGGCCTAACATTAACCACAATTAGAACAGCTGAAGAACTGCAATCTCAAGGGAGGAGCCATGACCCTAAGAGGAAGCAAACAATATTCATAGTTGCCATGAACCATGGCGGCTAATTGCGACCGGATGACTTTGATGCACTATCGCATCATCCATGCATTTGTGATCACTTGGCTTCTCAGGGATAAATATGTATTAAGCTTGAGGTAAACTTAAAATTGATTCATCAACTTTATTAATAGTAAACTTGATGAAGCTTGAATCCATTTCTTTAAGACCTTTCACATAAGATGAACATGGCAGCTTCCATGGGATAGATAGAGACCACGTGACCCAACCAAAGCATGGGTATAGTTCAAAGTCGGTGAATGCAGCTATTTACTCGATGGTTTGATGCTGAAAATGGACTTATTTGCGCCTGGATGCTTCCATATCTTTGCATTTCTCATCTACCTTATGCCTCAATGTTCTCTGAGGGCCCATTCCTTATGCAACAGCGAGGAGCCAGCCAAAAAATATTCACCAGAGGTGAACACGCCGATGAAAGAGAATGAAAAGATCCAGAAGATGGTACTTATACAGGGTGGAACTTTTGAGATGGGCTCTCACGCCCCCATCTTTCTGAGTGATGGTGAAGGTCCTGTCAGAGACATGACAGTAAAGGACTTCTATTTGGATGTATATGAAGTCAGTAATAGGGATTTTGCACAATTTATGGAAGAAGAAAAATATATCACTGAGGTTATTCCATTTTCATGGTATCCATTGCTGACACAATGCAGCCAGAATCCATTTACCTCTCCCATTTACTTTTTAGGCAGAGAAGTTTGGCAATAGTTTTGTGCTGGAGTCACTGTTGAATGATGCAGTAAAACAGGAAATTCATGATGCAGTTGCTGCAGCACCTTGGTGGCTCCCAGTTCCCAATGCAAATTGGAGGCAACCTGAAGGAAATGGATCTCATATCAAAGGTTAAACCTCCCTACAATGGATATAGATTAGTACCAGTTAGGCCTACAGCCTACATCAGCATAGCCAAAGGCTTGGAACTTTATGGAGCCAAATTCTATTAATGTAGTCCCCAAAAAGGAGATGAACTTTAAAAATAACAGCAAAAATTGCTACAAAAGATATCATGGAATTCATTTCTGCTGTTGTTTGTCTTCTCAAGTTCAACTAATAGTTTACTAATTTCCCGCTGGTAATACATTAATGAAGCTAGTTGTATTGTCAACTAGTGTAAATAAACCATAATTTTTTTAAAATGAGTTTGAAGTTTTCAATTGGTGATTTAAGTTCTTTTGTCTTCCACCCAGATAACTTCAAAAAAATGAGATGAGTCACAAGGTTCATCAGAAAGTTTGTCCTTGTCATGCTTTATTTTGCATGATGTATATCAAAGCTTGCTTTATTGAATCAAGGATGAAAAAAGAACTCAAGATGATCAAAGGCTTTAGGCATAGAATGTCAAATTCAGGCACAAAATTATCCCCTGATAGCAAAGCACCAAATAGTCAGATGGAATAATGGGAGCATGGGGAATCCAGTCAGACAGCTAATAAGCCTCAGTAGTCCTCAGGATGTATGGTAGGAATGTCCAGACTTCCCATATGGAAATCCCCTCCCAAATTATAACTGCCATCATGGAACACCTATCCACCACCTCATATTCTTATTCCCCTGTCCCACATCCTCATTTACCAATTTCCCATAGGACCCAGCCTTTGTGCTTGAAGGATAGGGTGGCCCAAAAGTAAGCTCATGCAATACAAAAAGAAGATTGTCTTGCTGCTAATGCTGTTAATAGTGTCTCCCAGGGCATAGATACAACATGCCTACCATATCCTCTCCAAAGGGAAATATGGTAGGGAATGAGCAGGCAAAGTTTGATTGGGACTGTTCATAGTTCATGAAGGATGTTCCTGAAGGAGTCAATGCACTCAACTTCTTTATTATGCATGAAAATCATCTGCAAAAATGAGACTTCAGTTTAGATAGTAATAGCAGAGGGCAAATAATGGGCCGTCTCTATGAGCTACTTTTTCAGTTCCTGTCAAGATATCAAGGTGGTTTAGTGGTATCAAGAGGCGGTAACACCCATTTGGATACCACGTACTGGGGTCAAGCATTCCTCAATATTATGGTAGTCCTACTTCTCTTAAACCTAGTTTTTTTTTAGATTATCCTAGTTGCTTACTGCCTAGTCCCTTACATCAACATTACCCCCAATTTTGCCTGTCCATAAATGCATCTAGTTTCTTCTTAAAAATAGTCACAGAAGGGGCAGCCACTATGTTGGCATCTAATGCACTCCACACGTTCACCATTCTACAAGTGAAAAGTCCTGTCTCGACCTGAGCCACACCTGCAGTTTGCACAACTTGAGTTGATTACCTCTCATTCTCTTGCTGCCATCAAACTGGAAGAACCTGCCACACTTTACATTGTCTATTCCTTTAATTCTCTTTAATGTCTGCATGAGATTGCCCCTCCTTAACCTTCTCTTGAGCGTCTACATCTACTGTCCATGAGATATTTTGTTTCAGTGTACTTAACCAGGCAGTGTTGGGCAATAATGAAGTAAAAGCAATGCATTTAGTAACTAATTACATTTTGCAGTAATTTCAATGGTAATGAGTGACTTTGCAAGTACATGTAACAGAAGCAGTAACTGATTTCCTTTTCCTAGGAAAATGTAAGTGGCATTACTGTACTGTAACATCACTTTCTTGGTGAGACTCACCTCCATATGATAGCAATGAGCACCATATCTACAATATTCATCCTTGTCATAGTAGAAATCACAAAGCTAAAATCACAGTTCATCAAATGCAATACACCCCAACCAGCCAGTGCTGCTGTGGGGAGGTTATTAAGTGTAAGCAGGGACATTTAAAGCTATAACATAATTTAATACACCAGCTTTGAGAAGCAGCTCCTTTAAGATCAGACTCAACACGAACGCATTGCATGCTCTTAGCTCCTGGGAGAGCACCAGCTAGAGTTTTTCGCAACCTCACATGAAAATACCAAGCTGTTTCTTGGGAGTGCTCTCACAGACATTGTCTATGGAGAGGATTCCTCATGCTGAGTATCTTTGACATCAGCATGTGTAAAACACTCCCTGAGGTGCAATATAAAGCTAGGATAAAAATTCTATCATTCACCAGAATGCTGCTTGAATATAGACCAGTTTCAAGTTGACAGAGCTTAGAAAAAGTAACTTGAAAAGTGACTTGTACTTTAAACTAGTTACTATTGGCGAGATAGAGTAATACTTGAAACTAATTACTTAACATGCAATGTGCATAACACTGTAACCAGGCCAATCTGAACAGAAATCAGGATGGGCATCTTCTCACCTAGCTTTCCCCTCTGAACATGAAAGTGGAGGAAGAATAGGATTTCAATTGACAATGCATACTTTTGTGGTATTTCTGTATATACTCCTATACATAACTGTACACCTATACCACTTACAGTGCTTGCATACATTTGTAACCTTTTGACACTGTTCATTGCAGTATACGTTTTTGCATCATTTTGTAATAATCTGCCTCTTTCCACTTAGACTCTTGAATGATGCATGTATTGGATTCACACATAAAAAAAACTCAACCCAGCAGGATTCATATAAATGAAAAAAACTCACACCTCCTAATGTTTCTGAGCTTGGGGATTTTTGTCATGGACTTGAGTTGGTTCATGTACCAAATGTTTTGGAACTGCTTACCTCACGTACTCATCAGGGGTGATTATTTTGTGGGTGTGTTATTAGCAAAGGGGTTCCTGAAGCCAGGAATATTGGCATATTTTGTCATGCCATTGTTGGCAATATGATGGATATGGGAAGTTTGGTCACTTTACACAGTATTATTATGCCACAATTAGTCATTCAATGTTCCCAGCAAGAATGCAGGAAAAGGTGAAGAGCCAATTTAGGAACACAAAGGTCAAATTAGTGTGATGTTCCAGCTCTAGCTTTCTCTGCCCCAGTGATAAATGTCACATCTTAATTAGTTCATTATGCCCCACAGGTTCAGCATTAAAGAGTCAAGGTGAGAATAAATCCAAAAAGTCATTTTTCATTGCTCAATGCAAAGCCTCCAATGAAAGGCATTCTGAAGCACTCTTATGACTTCAACAGGGACTCATCATACGTTCTCACTGGTAATTTTCTGAAATGAAGCAAGAAATTTCAATACTTAAAAATGAAGGAAATTATTAAGCTTCAAAGCTGTCATTGTGGAAAACAACTGATGATTCTTTGTGACAGACAAATGTAACAACCAAGCATGTTCCCCATTGCTTTTCCACAATTCACAAATTGCCACAAGAAATATCAGCTTAAGGAGGAGAGTTCTAACACTGACAAATTCAACATTGTTAACACGTTGGCGACAATGCGTCCTGATGCCAGGATGCAGATCTTTTTTCAATGAATACCCTCTGGAACTGTTGAGAACGTTCCAGAAGATTATGATTTCGTAATTACTGATAAAAATTCCAAAAAATTCAACATTTTAAAAAAACTTGGCAAAAAAAATGCTTTCTGGGACCATGCATCCTGATGGCAGGACGTATTTTTTGACAAAAAAATGTGCGTGGTCCCACGCAGCGGACAAGCAAAAATAGGCTGGTCGTCAACGTGTTAAAGGACTGGGAGAATATATCCTGCCTTCATAGGGTTTGACTTCTAGTATAGGCACATCCAGATATGTGTGGTCAAATTTCCCCTACAGGAAGTGATATCAAAGTGTTTCTACATATTCACATTTTAGAACAATGACTGTATTGTTGAAGATGATAAAACTGAAGGAATTTGTATAGATATAACTTACTTAGCCTCTTAAGCACACACTTGTCATTTATAGGTCAATACCTATATATACAACAGGTAACTTTGCTAACACCAGAAACATATTCTGTATTCTCATTCTTTTCATTGTGATAAGTCATAGCAACTGAAAGTGGGATGGCACTTTTTTTTACATGCTTCCTTTCTATTACTGCCTATGCCCATATAAGAAAACAAAAAGCCTCAGCATGAAAAATCATGATTCAGCTAGGTTTTCCAATTTGTACTTCCTCTTTTGGTCATTTTGTGAAGTCATATCATCTGAAAGTTTTCAGGAAAAACAAAGTAAAAAAATGCTGTCATGTTTTTGTTGGTATTACATCATATATTGTACAGGGTGGGGCAAAAGTCAGGGAACAGGAATTTTTGGGAAATTTATTTCTCCTATATGTCTAACCTTCCACTAACGCCCACTGCTCTCAACATCTCTCACATTGATGGTTGCATGGCTGTGTGGACACTAGGGCCAGAAGTGCTGTTTGGTCGCCTTCTCCCCTTTCTTTTTTTTCATCGAGAACACTACTGGTTGCCTGGAATTTGCTATCAAATCCAAAAGTGGATCGAAAGTCTTGGCCTGTTTGACTGTCTTTCATGGTAATCATACTATTGATAGTTTCCCATTAACTGTTATCTGTTTTTCGTACTTCATAGCAAGCTCTGCTTGTTTTTCAGTTTAATACACCATTATTAGGCTATTTTAGCAACACTCAGTCAAAAATCACTTCCAAATGTTGTCAGTCAAATTATGGGACAATTGTGTGTGGAGGTCACCAACATAAATAGCAATGAAAATATCACATCACCTAAATTGCCATACTTGTTCCAGGTGAGTAATGGTCATTCCTTTTCCAGCCTATTACAATGGACTCTTGGACATTGGAAGAGCACAGGAGCACTCTTCACTGAGCTCCAACTATTGCATGCCAAAATGATGAAAAAGCGATACAGAAATGTGCTGCATCAAGCAGTCAATTTGAAAATTGAATTCCTCAAAAATTCCTATGTTCCCTGACTTTTCCCCACCCTGTACATGGTTATTTCTTGTCTTGATAGACCGAATGAGCCATCCAGTAGTACATACGTCCTGGAATGATGCAGTTGCTTTTTGCAAGTGGGCTGGAAAAAGACTGCCAACTGAAGCTGAATGGGAATATGCCTGTAAAGGAAACTTGTCAGATCGCTTATATCCTTGGGGCAACAAGCTCATGCCACGAGGAGAACACTGGTTTGTGCTGCTCCCACTGAGAGTGTTCCTTCAGGAACTATGTTTTCACATGATTTTTTTTTTCCCTAGGATGAATATTTGGCAAGGAGAATTTCCCCATCAAGACAAGGGAGAAGATGGCTATATAGGCCCTGCTCCAGTTGAATCCTTCCCTGCCCAGAATATGTTTGGTCTTCATCACATGGTTGGGAATGTTTGGGAATGGATAGATGATGACTGGAGCCTCCCATTTAGAGAGGTATGTGAGGCTTCCATACTACACCTACAATACATTCTAGAGTTTTCAGGATGGCAGTTTTGAAAAATGGCTTCATCCATCGAAATCATCACTGGTGCATGATTGCATCAGAAAAACTATCACTTATAAACTATGATCAATGCATCAAGAAAGTCATAATACTTCCTAAGAATACCAATACCAATGCCTATTCCTCTTACATGTTGTTTTTCTTTGCAGCCTATACCTAATGAAAAAGTAAAAAAAGGTGGGTCCTTCATGTGCACAAGGGACTACTGTTATCGCCATCGGTGTGCAGCCAGATCTCATAATACTCCTGATTCCTCAGCTGTCAATTTGGGCTTCCGCTGTGCTAAAAATGTTCAATAAAGTAAAGCATTCTGTCTCCTAAAATCCAATTTTATGTTGGACAACTGAGTTTATTGCATTCAATTGAATTAGCATTACAACTTTTATTTCTTGAACATTAAAGTGGACTCAATTTCTGTTGACCTTTAGTGCAAAATCAGATGTATGAGAAGATAAGTACAAAATGTTATTGAAAAAATAAAAATGAACATTTTTGATAAGTTTTTGTTTTTACATTTTTCAACTCTTTTCAGTTTTTTTTTATTTTGAAGAAAAAAAATATTTATTCCTTGTTAAGTTTTTTTTTTGCTTTCCTTTAAATATTTTTCATCTTTCTTGACAAAAGGCACATGGCTCAGTCTTAGATTATTCAACATATCCATCATCATGAATGCACTTCTGCCTCTTATGTGGTGTGAATATGAAGCCATCTGCCTCATCATCCTTGGCCAAATCCTGGAGGAAAGTCTTCCCAGCTATATTGATGGTTTAACTCTCTGAAACCTGAGACCCCAGAGGTTCTTTCATCCTGGAGAACAGGAAGACAGGTGAAAAACTGAGTAAATATGGTGAATGTGCAAAGAATCTTCAGCTCCATTTCAGAAGCAAGTCTAGCACATCATGCTTGCAACTTAGAGCATGTCACAGAGTAGCAGGGGACCATAAGCCAATTTGGGTCATTTCTTGCAGTCAGTAGGGGAAAATATATTTATTTTATACACTATGGTCTGCTGTTCCCTAGTCATTAACACATCACCAGTTTTAAAATTGCAGGCAACTTTTGACAGGTATGCCTGCAAGCTTCAAAATTGCCTTTTTGTTTAAGCTTTTCTACAATTTTTTTGCATTTTCACAAAGTAAGAATGGCCCTCCAAATTTGGACAAATTATTCAAATGACAAACTATAAAACAGTTTCTGTTGCTTATAAAAGCAAATATGGCTCTCACACATTCCTCTGTTTACCTTAAGCTGCTCATGTGTTTCATTAGGCAAATTTGAAATTTGGAGAATATCTCATTACACTTACCACCCATGAATATGTCAAATTAATGCAATGTCAAATCCATGCAATGTTCAATTTGTGAGACTTCAGCCATAATATCATCTGGCATTAACCCAAGTAACCCAAGCAATTAACTCAAGTTTTCATTTTTAGAAGCTGCATTCACATGAGCATACCCATCATGCCCATGACAGTCAAGGGATTAATGGACATCCCTGAGGAAAACCATAAAAGAGCTAACCTGTGTGTTTTTCATCACTGGTCATCATATCATTTGGAGCAAGCACATCACCCACATCAGTTTTACCACCTCTGAAATTCAGATCCAGCTCCATGCTGTGTCATATGTTGGAGACACACCAACCAATTACATAATGCTGCATGAGTTTCACTTAAAAATTTGTTTGGCAACAAATGGAATTTCACAACTGATTGAATGTCTTCACTTTGTTGCATGGCCAACAAATCTGTCCATAATTGTCACATTTACATGAAAGCTGCTAATTCCATACTAATGGGAGGATGATCCAACTAGATGCTCATGTTACAATATTTCTCAATTTTTTTAAATTATGAACATCATTTCTGAAATGTCCAGTTATCAGTAATGTGTGTCAAAATTGTACATGCCATTCCATGGTTGCTTTAATATGGTACTGAAAGAAGAAATGCATAACTTCTCTCATGGGAAGATTAAATAGTTTCATTTGAAAATTTCACACAGTAATGAGCTCTGTTAAAAAACATAGCTCTGAATTGAAGAACAGCACCATTGAAATACAACACAGATTACATGGCAGAATCACAGAATAGAAAGTGAAAAATAAGAATTCTTAACTATTCTTCTGAGGAATTTTGATAGTGACACTCTTGACCTCACTGTAGGCATCTAAGCCATATTCCCCAAGCTCCCGACCAATTCCAGACATCTTGTACCCACCAAAAGGGACCTGAGCTTCAAGGACATCATAGCAGTTCACCCTAGAAAAAGAGCATCACGATCAAATCTGAATGAAAAACTAGAGAGGAAGAAGTTGATTGTATTTACATACCAGACTGTGCCAGCACGAAGTCCCTGGGTGAGAAAAAGAGCCTTCTCAATGTCCTTGGTGAAGACAGCAGCAGCTAGGCCATAAATGGTCTTATTGGCACGTTCTATCAACTCATCCATGGATTTGAATTTTAGGATCTGCTGCACAGGGCCAAAGATCTGACAAAGAAGCAGAAGCATTTCAAAATTGAACCCCAATTGAGAACTGAAATATCACAAGACCATGGTATAAAAACCCCACACCTCTTCTCGGGCTATAGTCATGTCATCAGTGACATCAGCAAATACAGTTGGTTCAATGAAAAATCCCTTCTCCCCAATACGATTTCCACCCGTCAGGAGCTTACCACCTTCCTTCTTCCCACATTCTATGAGGCCCATAATCCTAGACATTTGTTCACCATCAATCTGAGAATAAAATATACAAACCATGAATCCAACTTAATCTACATATCAGGTAGCCTGAAGGTTATACCATGCATGGATAGAGTACCTGAGGGCCATGTTCTACTCCTTCCTGGAAGGGATCACCAACTTTGCGTGTCTTGGCTCGTTCTACGCTTCTTTCAACAAACTCATTGTAAATCTTCTCTTCAACAAAGATCCGTGACCCTGCACAACAGCATTGGCCCTATGAAAACAGGATAGGTAAGAATGACTATCGGTTTAATTTTATAATGTAAAAGAGGGGTGAAGAAGAATGAGCTGACTTGGTTGAAAAATAAGGCAAAATGGGATGTCTCAATGGCATGATCCAGGTCTGCATCACTACAGACTATGTTGGGTGATTTTCCACCCAATTCTAGGGTGATCCGTTTCAGATTGCTCTTGGCAGCAGCCTCCATGATATGATGACCAACTTCAGTTGATCCTGTGAATGCCACCTTGTCGACACCCATATGGGATGCAATGGCTCCTCCTGCAGTGGGTCCATAGCCTGGGATGATGTTCACAACACCAGGAGGAAATCCAGCTTCCTTGATCAACTCAGCCACATAGAGGGCAGAAAGTGGAGTTTGTTCAGCTGGTTTCATCACCACAACATTTCCTGAAAAATGAATTTATATGTCTGTACCTATTCAACAGTGCTTCCAAAAGTTTTCCAATTGCCTATTGTTAAAATTAGTGATGGTGACATGACTGGTTCCCATTTCAAAGATTCTGGCTATAACAAGCCACTATATTTTTAGACTTTCTTCTTTCAGCAAACTTGGTGTGTTCTGGATTGGGAGTAATGCTTCATGATGTCAAAAAATACCATTGTCATTAGTGGCAACAGCTAATATTTTGCTGGTTACCAACAAGGTAATGTTTTTGACCCATGCTTGCCATTGCACACCAATTCAGCACATTTGAAAGCACTGCTATTCAATAACAAGTTGTTTTTGTAGTTACATTGGCATTTTACTGCGTAGAGGTGCACCATCAAGCCACCACTGGTGATTGTCCCTTCTCTAAATAAGAACAGCAAAGGGAAATTAAGAAAGGCAATAAAAATGATGCAGAGGTACCTCATACCTAATCATCTTTAATTCTAATTATTTAATGAGCTCATAGAATAGAAACAGATATGAGGATCCAACTCTTAGCAACTTATGATCTTTCCACTACCCAGGTTTGAGCAATCACCATCATAACTATTGATCAGTCAATAGTTTTCCTCCTTAGTTTTTACTCGAGTCAGCAAGCATATTTTTTTTTCATTTGCCATCAATCTTCCTTCTTAACACATCCGCTGCCAAAGATGGCTATAGCCGTTTTCAAGAATCCATTCAAAATAGTTCTCAAATTCTTTAACAGGTGTAGCTCAAATGCTACAAAACATTGGGGAAACATAAAGGAGACATAGAAGAAGTGATGTAGATATCGATTTTCACTCACAGCTCAACTGGGAATTTATTTTCGTAGTTTTAAAAAGTACTTTTTTTTACAGTTGCACATGGCAGTATCAATTAGCTTACTCTAGTCAGTAATTACCACAGTACTGACAAGAGATCCACCAATGTTTCAGGCTGCAATAAATATGAGTCAATGAGTATAACCAACAAGTGTACAGATATCAGTCAATATTTAAAACAAACACAAGACTCAAAGTCGAGGTTTATGTTGGGGCATAATGAGACACTTATATTGAAATCTTGTGTTAAGGTTGAACATTTATATCATCTAACCCTACCCCTCTAATGATAATGAGCCTTCCTCTTATCTATGGATTACACTGATGCACAAAAATGTGACTACGACCAGAACCCCCTGCACCTATGGTAGCAGAGCATCCACTGGTCAAGACAGTGACATGGGGCCAAAACATTATGGCATTACCAAAGAGGCACAAATTTTGACCCAGCTTCCTCCCTACTTCCCATTCTTGGTATGGCAAAAAAGATGTTACAACAAACCAGAGCCTGTTCATAAGTTGAAATCATATAAAATCTATCAGCCAACATTTGTCTCACCTTTGTCCTTAGACTAGGGCATCTTCTTAGTGTACTAAGCACAGATTGCAGGTCTATCATACTGTAACAGCATCTCTTCCAAGCCTAAACTTTTGCCTATTAATAGGCTTTGCGAAGTTACAAATGGCAGGGTTAATGTTCCAAAGGTCTATGTCAATATGCATAAAATTAAAAAGGTGTGGAATTACCAAGATCTAATAATCCTGGACACAGGCTAAACACATGGCTTGGTATTAACCTGCAGATATTTAAAATTTAACTCTATTTTTCAGTCTAAGTTATGCCAAAACTAAAAATATATGGCAGAGATCCTCTCCCATTCCATGATTTCAGTCTAAAAAAATCAATCAGTATTGTATTGAATCAATATATCTACCAGTAACAGTAACAGCAAACTCCTATATTGGCTGACCTCTGCAGGATATGGCAAAGAAAGAGCTCCCCCTCTCCAACTCTCCCTGACTAACCAAAAAAATATCTGCTAAAAACTTGCTCTGTCATTTTTATTTACTGAATGCCTATGCAAAAAAGTCAAGACAAGTGAGTGGTGGGAGGGACCAGGCATTCAATGGCTTCTGGTTCAGGAACATGCTGAGTGTCAAGGTCACCATCCAGTCTAGTCAGAGGGTAGTCACCATCAATGTGTGACATTGGGGCATGCTACACTCACACAGGGGGCTATTGGGAATGCCAGTAGTCTGTGGCTATATAGTGCCAAAGGCCAGTCTGAAAGCAATTGACAATTGAGAAGGGCCTACAACTGCTTTGGTAGGTTGAACCTGGTTAACAAATCAGTCTATGCCTTGTGAAAGTTTTGCAAGAATGGTTCCAATGGCTCCACTATGTGGAGAGTCATAAAAGTTAAAATTTTTGGAGTCTTTTTTTGCCACATCCTGAGTACTGACCACTAATGTCACAAGGTCACTGAAGAGGGACTTGAGGGCACCAAGTGCAGAAGACCCCATCCCCCTAATACAGAATAGACTGACCCATTCTCCAATTGACCTCATTTCTTCGAAGACACAGGCAGTGCATAACAAAACTAAAGATAATTGGTACTTTAAACCATAATATCACCAGTTGCAAGAGCAGGTCCAAGCTTCCAAGCTTGCATCAACAGTGGAAAGTTCCAAGGAATTATTTGTCCACAAATCCCAACAGGTTCACGACGGGTGAAACTCAAGAAATTGCCATCGACTGGGATTGTCTTTCCATGATTTTTATCCGCCCATCCAGCATAATACCTGCATAGTAAAGCATTCAATTCTTATTGAATAGCTAACCTGCAAGCCCAACTGAAAAGGGGCTTGAAACAGATGCAGAAAATCATACCGCAGGCACTTGATTGTGAGGTTCAGGTCAATTTTGTATGCATCAGAGAAAGGTTTCCCATTGTCCAATGTCTCCAAGCTCTGCCAAAATTATCAGGAGGAACAGACAAATCAGGGGGGAAAACCAGCCCATGGATAGGGCAAAAAAAGAGTTTAGAGTACAATAAAACATTCCTTAATTACTTTAATGTTTGGACAATATTCATCAGTGAGAACAGTACAAAAAGTCAAATTCAACAGGAAGAGAGAGATCTACAAGGTTGGCCAAAATAAGTAAGCAACTCGAAAATTGGTTACAAATTCCCCCTTTTTTTTAAAATGAATTTGCTTGAAAATTAAATGCAACATTGTCTAACATGTTCTTAAGGAAGTGTTGAAGTTTTAAGCACCTTTGGCCACCCACTCTTGATTTATGGCAGATTTTGTTGCAATTATAAATATTCTGATTGAACAGGCACATAACTGCCACTACAAGGTACATATCCAAATTTGAGTTTTGCTCTAAAAAATATGTTCCTTCAGAGAGATCATTGCAAAAACTTAAGAGAACATTTTCAAGTGTGTTTTCACAATTTAAGAACTCCATGAATGTGAATAAACTTTCAAGCATTCCCATGCAACAGTGGATTTGTGCCTTGCAACAGCAGTCACATACCTGTTACCTCAAGAATAAGTACAGCACAATAGTTTAGATTTTTGGAATGCTGCAATTATTGAATAAAAGTTCACTGGTCCCAGGAGTATTCCATTATGCAGAGTTGACTGTACCAAGTATAATAATAGTAGTAGCAGATTATGATGGACAATGATGATAAAACAGGCATCCAGGATTTGAGGAGATGAAGTGCAGGATCAAGCAACAGTGAATCAAATGAGTTTAAATAACTTCAAAGGTAGATTGCAGATTGGAAAGTAGGTTTGGTTTCTGAGTGATGTTCCTCCTCACTAATGGGAAAGTCTCCAATCAGATGATCCAAAAGAGATATCTCATCTTTACCAAAATATGCATATCCCTAGCTTATTTTTACCTTCAACTGCTTTTGGAAGAAAGATTCATTGAACACAAGCACACAGCTTGTTCAAGTGATGACAGCTACTCCTGGTGGCATTAAGGTATTAGGACTGAAAATTGAGCATGAAAAGTGAGCAGGATTACGTAACTGGCTTGGTGATGCCTAATAAGTAGATAAGGCTCATGTAATGGGCATTGGCTGTCAGCCTTAGATTTCTGAAACTCATACATTCCAAGCCAAGAACAGGCTTAACAATACTGAAGCACTAAGAGTTTTCAAGAAGCCTAACATACACCATGGCACAGATACTACTTTCATAACTCAAATATAGTTGTAACTAGGGATGGGTTATTGACCAGTCAATCAAAAACATGTCAATTGACTGGTCAATTGACCAGTCAATATGGTCAACTGTCAATTTTGGTAAATAGGACCAACTTTTATTTATTTATTTATTTTTTTCTTCATAGTTTTTGCACCATTATACAGGGTGACCAGAAAGTTCAGAGACACTCAAAAATACCAATATCCCGATGCCATAAAGAACAATAAATGTTTTTTTAATTTCATAAGAAAGAACATAAGAAAACCTTCCAAATGAGTTAAACATCTTCGAAATAGCCCCCATTGGCAGCAATAACTTTTCTGAGGCGTTTTGGAAAATTGTCCTCAGTTTCTCGCAGCTGTTTCACAGGGATTTTGTCCCATGCTTTCAGCAAAGTTGACTTGAGGCAGTCCAAATTTTTTGGCTGAGTAGCACATACCTTTGCCTCCAAAAAGGACCAGATACTATAGTCCATCGGATTGAAATCAGGGGAGCAGGAGGGCCAAGCTTCTGGACCAATAAAATCTGGCAACTCGGACACACACCACTCTTTTGTTGACCGGCTGGTGTGAGCTGGGGCATTGTCTTGTTGAAATGTCCAGGAAGAATCCCCAAAATGATCCCTTGCCCAAGGATAGAGAACCTTCTTCAGAACTTCATTTTGATAGTAATTGGCATTGATTTTGATGTTAGGAGCCACAAAATGCAAGGGTGTTTTACCGTCAGCTGTAATGCCACCCCAGACCATGACAGACTGGGGTTTTTGCATTCTTTGCACAAACAGAGATTCTGACAAGACTCTGGACCCTTTTCTGGCCCAGACACGATCATTTTGGGGATTAAACGCTTGCTGAACTGTAAAAACTTTTTCATCTGAGAACACGATCCGACGGTGTGAGTTTTGCTTGAATCTCGCCAGTAGTTTCCTTGATTTTTGCTTCCGCAATTCCTTGCTCTTCTTCATAAGCACCTGAAATACTCTTTTTTTGAAAGGGAAAATGCCCAACTTCTTTCTAAGATAGGAGCGCAGGGGTTTCGCACTTGATCTTCAAGTGCTTTGCAAGACTTTGGCACTTCCGTTCCGGGTTTCGATCAAGAAGCTGTTTGACATGCTTTCAAAGAGCAGGATCCTTGAAGACACTGGGATGGCCACTTCTGGGTTGATCCTGAGTTGTACCAAGTCCCTTGTAGTGGGCAATGGCTTTGTACACGGTGGATCGTGGCATTTTCAGCTCCTTGATGATCTTTACAGGTGAATGACCTTGCTGAAACATGTAAATCACAGCTTCTCGGCTGGGTTTCGATGCCATATCTGCACCGGGAGGAGTCATATTTGCGATGCAAAAAGATTTAGCCTATAGCTAGACTCGTGGAAAAAATGAAGCCTCACACTTGAAAAAAATCTAAAAAATATTACAAGTCTCCAAACTTTCCGGTCACCCTGTATATGTCATGACTCACAAGTGATAGACTAGGGATGGGAAGTTGACTGGTCAACATGGTCATATTAGACCATTTGCAGAAAATAATGGTTATGAGCCCAACAAGAGGTTAGGCCTTATGACTATATGATCATAAATGACCATGTTGACCAGTCAACATATCATTGCTAAGATAAAATTTAATGTTCCAACTCATGCAATCTATAGGGTAAACAGTAATGAATCATGTTTCATAGCTAGATTAATTTTTTTAGGCATAGGCATAGGCATAACCCAAGTACTTGTCCTTTGATCACAGACTTTGAGAATAATTTGATGCTCTGATGCAGACTATTAGCCAGGACCATGATTGACCTCGCATGAAACTAAAGTTCTAAAACTGTTACTTAGATCTTGAACCTTAACTATGAAAGTCCTTGAGGCTATAAAACTTTGAACTGCAAGCTATGCCTGCACACACACTCTGCATCACTCAGGTGAAAGGTCATGGTAGTTTGAGCATTTGCTAAAATGTTTTCATATGCAACAGATGCCACAGTCTAGGTGTTTGGCAGGCTGCATGAACAAATCTTAAAAATTGAACTGGCTCTTTGGTTTTAGTGCTGGGGGATAAATGACCACTGTTATGAGCTCTATAAAAATATATTAATTCACTGAATTAAAAAAACTAGTGGTCAATAATGGTCAATTAAAAGGTGGTAAAAATTGACCACCCCATCCCTAATTGTAACTATAATTTTTTCAAGAACTGACCCAAAGTTTCATATATCTCTATGTCTCTTTCTTCCATGATTTGAGGTTTCACAGAACAGCAACATAAACTCCCTCAGCTTCATGACAAGTCATTCTGTCTATTATCTTCGGCATATTTCTTTGTGTTCTTTATACATTCATTAACATTCTGGGGGTTTATTTGTAAATGGAAGAGATACACTGGCTTAAGGTGTAATGCCCCCAACACTTGCTCGAACAATGTGTTGGAACTGAAATATGAAAGGTAAAACCATGTTCAAGTAATTTGGACCTTTCTTTGCCCATACCTAAATGAAATTGACCCTGTGACTACTAGAAACTGGATAAGTTAAACTCTTGGTTTCAACTCTTCATTCCAAAAGAATCTCTTCAAAATCCTTCACCATAATACTATCACATGTCATCATGAAAATACTGAGAATTGGACTTTACAAATTAAGCCTACATGAATGCCTACATTTTTGCATCAGGGTACATTGGATCCAAAACAATAGTTACAGGGTTAAGCATATCAATTAGAATTGTCATTAATAATTAATATTTTTTCCAAAAAAAAATTGTCATTTTAAAATTAGATGATATTCTCCAATCACACTCACAGCTAAGTAGGCACGATCCCTCTCCATAAGGTCAGCCAACTTATTCAAAAGCCTTCCTCGTTCAGATGCATTCATGGTTCGCCATGGTGATCCCAGACGAAATGCTTCTTTGGCAGCTTTCACTGCTTGATTCACATCCTCCTACACTTGCAAAATATAATATTCCTCAATGAAATGATAGTGCACCCATCAGAGGTGGGATATGGGAATTTAAAACTAATGTGGTCAGCCAATCAAGTTGTCCTAAAACTGATGAAAAAATGGAAATAGAAATTTGTTTGTATACTACTTATTATTCACATGGAAGGGTGTTTAAATGAGTCTAGAATCCCTCCAAGATCATCTGTCCTGCTCCTTGGCCCACTCAATGTGGATTATAGTCAAACTGTGAACTGACCTTATCTCCTTCCTGAATATGTGCGATGACTTCCCCAGTAGCTGGATTCACTGTTGGGAAAGTTTTTCCTTTTGCACTTTTCTGCCATTCGTTGTTGATGAAAATCTGGATAACCAGAATATGGCATATCAATTCAGTTGACAATTAATAACTGAAACAATGCAAGTATTATGGAATATGCCTAGCAAACAAAAAATCACTGGTTAGAACTAAAGTGTAATCACCCAAGGTGGTGAATGCATTCTACTTCAAGTCTAACAAGTTTGCTCAATTGTCAAATTTTTTGGTATTTTCTGGGTTTAAAAGGAAAAAAAAAAAAGTGAACCTTTATGAATGGTTCTACAGCTCATCAACAAAACACCTGATTCTATTCAGGATAAGTATGAATACAGAGCAATTATGCTTACTTAATATGATGCATTTTATTCAAACTTCCATGTAGCATATGGCCCAACCAGCCATTCTTTTTAACATTTGGAGCCTTGATACATGAGGGGACTGAATCTTATGGTACACATTTGGGCATTGTCTTCTTGTAAGATAAAAGCTGAAAATGGTGTGAAAACATGAGAAAAATTAAGTAAACATATTTTTAATAAGCAGGCTATGAAGCATGTGGTGACTTTTGGGACTCTTGATGTATATAATGGATGGGAAAAAAAGTTTGCACTTTTTCATTTGATTCCTCCACCTACATGAAGACATGCTCATGCTATCTGGAGGAAAAATAGCAATACCCTTTCCTGATCATATTAAATATATTTCAAGAAAATAGGATCAGTTCTTACACAAATTTTATTTATATGGCATGAGGTTAATAATCATAGCAGCATAGGCATAGCTATGGAGGATAGGGGTAGCTTGAAGAAGCTCAGTTAAAATCACTCATAAAGCCAGCTGACATGGAAAACTATCAGTCGAGATAGCTTCCCTTATCTCCCACATGGTAATAGAAAAATTATAAATGCCTCACCATTACACAATGCCAACCAATGAAGATAATCATCACCAAGGAATAACTACAAGGTTCCATATACAGAATCAGTTAATCAGTACAGCTATGAATCCTGGCAGACCCTCATACTCTACATTACAGCTACCCTTGAAAATGAGCAGTAATTGTGATGTCTCAATTTCTCCTTAAAATGGAAACATCAAATGAATATCCAATTAACTCTGGAAATAAGCAAACAACGGCATCCATCTTACTCCAGTGCAATGAATTTCAGGCTCTGGGTTGGCCTTGGGCAAAACATTTGTGGAAGCAAATCGTTCAGAAAAGCTTCTTCTGGCAAACTGTCTCAGCACAGAGTAGGACCTAGCAAATCTCTGCATCTTTGCCTATTTTGATGATAGAGGTGTGCTTAGATCACATCACCACCTGAAAGTACAAGTAGATTTAGAGAGGCATCAGTCCAAGACTCGTATATACTTATAGGCCTATAGCACAATATTAGACTTTTCATGGACCTGTGTCTGTAATTGGTCATCATCTATATCAATTCACAGGTTCAAAATATGTACAGGGTAAGCATGACATATGCTTCTCTGAATAATACCAGCATATTAGATGTAGTAGTATTAGAAAAAAAGGTTTTGATGCTATTCCACATGCTGACCTTTTTCTTAACCCTTTCACTGTTACGCAAAAAAATATCCACCATCTCCCCTGTGTTATATAATGGGGGCTGTTTACCTAAAAACAATAGTTTATGTTTTTAAAAAATGTTATATCATGAAAACCAATGAGTTAGTTACAGTTACATGTATAAATAGCAGTGACATAACCTATAAATGGTGAATGATCAGAGCCAGAGAACATCCTCAGCCTACCACTACATCAGTCCAAATATGTTCTTGGGCAACTAGCAAAAGAGTTTAATTGCAATATAGGATTTATGGATATTACAATAGATTGGTTCTTTATAAAATTTTTCTGCAAAGAAAAATTTGCTGAAAAGAAAAGCCTAAATGAGCTTCTAATTATATGAGCTTCAAACTCATATAGAATAATAATGTGTATTACAAGGACCTAACTTGGGGCCATTACATTTTCTTACATATATTAACCCTTTGCCATCTATGCCTGTGTTATCTCATGTAGACCTAATGCCAAGTGATGGGAAAAAAACTTGGATGTACAGTGGAAACATATTCATAATACTCAGAAGTCAAAAGGTTAATGACAAAAGTATAAAAGGGGCAAGTAGTTCTCAAGCCAAACCAAAAGGGTCAATCCCTTAATGATGTATAATGTGAAATAAGGGGATATGCAACTGTATGCTGATGATACTATTTACTATGAAGGAAATTTTATTGCAGAAATTAACAGACTTTGGATTTAAATTGGTGAGAATGGTAGGAAGGGTAGGAGTTCCAAAAGTAAGGTATTTCTGGCATTGTCTGCTCATCATTCTATAATAAATTTTATTGCAATTTGTAAGTAAATTCACATCGCCTTTAACATGCACTCCAAAGGTAGGGTGGCCAGACATCCCAGTTTTTCAGGCTATGTCCTAGTTTGAATTTTCCTTTCCATTCTCGTGTCCCTTTTTTTCCCCCACATTCTAACTATTTGGGCACTTTCTTGAAATATTAAAATTTTAATTGAAAAAATCTGGTCACCCTATCCGAAAGCCCATTGTAACTTTTATCCAGGGAAGCATAACTTCATCGCCTTGAATGCATCATAAACATAACATTGCACCAAAGTGGTGAGAATTCATTTGCAAGTCATTGAATACTTAAACCTACTGAAGTACTGATGTCCTTGGCTCATTTCAGTCATGATCCATCAATTCGTTTTGACAATGGTCATACGAGTTTCAACGAAAAGAAAACGAATAAACTCGCCAATAGCCCACTGCGCAGTCACCCGTGACATTAACTCGGCTATCTGAAACAACTTGCTCAGGAACGCGCAGGCTCTACGGCACGTAAGCAGCACAAGCCCTGCGACGTAAGCAAGTCTCTTCAGTCTACTTCGAAACTGGAAATAGACAAGAGACGATATGGCCCAGACCTTATTCATGATTTTCCAGAGAAGGAAGTAATTCCTTTCGATTTGTCGACGACTTGATCGTGAAGTACTGCTAGCCATTTTTCAGCTACAATTGTATCATGTGAGCGGGTCTTAAGGCTTAGTTCATTCTCATGACAGCATGCTGGATGCGTGAGTAGCACACAGCAACAACCGTATACATCCAGCAAAGCTGCAAGCTGCAAATCTAGCACCGCATGTAATACTGCAGTCTCAAAAATAGGAACGGTATATAATCAATCTAGCATGCTGTGTTACAGGATTGCAACCTGAACAGGCTGGATGGGATTCTGGAGTACAGTAAGCCGGTACAGCATTCAGTATGCACAGTATGGGTATGACTTAAATGGAGTAGAGTCGAGAGCGGGACTCCCAAGAGGCTTCATGCCGCACAGGCGGTAAGTAGGCTCTAACTCAAGGTGAACATGGTGGTTCTATCACGCCTAACAACGTGTGGTCCATGTCTCTTACATCGCGTCGTAGTCCTTGCGCCGAACTTAGTTTTCCTCAGCTTTCTAAGTCAGTGGCCTATCATGTGCTTATGCATAATAACGTGTATTTCCGATAAATGAATGAACCCTACATCCACCACATGCATTGAAAGGCCCCTTTTTAGGGATTTGAGAGGACCTAAAAAGTATATTGGATAGACGCGTGACACGCCTATGGCCTAATATGTGACCTATTTATGGCTTAGCTTTGCACACTCCTAACGTTAGGCCTTCTTATCCTCAACAAGAGGGCTAGGCATTTCCAGTGTCATGCCAAAGTGTATAAGTTAAGTTTGAAGAACTGAGCTGGCAATCCAATGTAGTGCCTTCCAGCAATGGCAATCTGTGGGAAGGGTTGTTAATTCATAAAGGGACTTTTTAAAGGCTTCTACTCGGGGAAGGGACCATCCTTGTGGAAGAGCATTCAAATCCACCCATCTTAAGGGGAAAATTCTACTTAATGTTAGATGAAGAATTCCTTCCATAATTACAATGTAGGGACAAGCTCAGCATGCCTTTTCCTTTCTTATAGTGCTTTTCAACCAAACACTTGAAATAGTGGAGCACAATATAACATTTTGTGAAAGAGAATCAATCTGGCATGTTTTTGTATATTTTATTTGTACATGTCTACTGTGTCTTTATGGCTATTTTTGTATCTACTGTCTAACATTAAAGTTTTCTAGTCTATTGCCTCCATTAGAGCATTGGATCCAATGTCCTAATTTTCATTGTTGAGCATGAAGCACCCAGCTCACTTTTCAACTTTTCCTTGCTATTCCATGTCATCCAAAGGAATCCCATCTCAGCTGCATACTCAAGGGTGGGAAGAACAAGATAGATATATGCTATAGACCTGACTTTGACCATTGCTGAGGTTTTATTTGAGCAAACTAAGGGCCTACATACCATTGGCCTCAGTGGCACTAATAGATTTTCCTCAGTAATGATTTTTATCATAAAAGGATACATCTGTCATGGAAGGATATAGCAGACTGCTTTAAGTGCTCTTAACACAGATATCACAAGGCAACAGCATTGTGCAAGGGAAGGTCAGACATGAAGAGTTTTCGGTTAATTTCTTATTTCAATGATAGTGAGGAACACTCTGAACACCCTATCTCAGCATTCCAACAAGGTGAAGAGAAGCTCTAGACTACTTGTGATTTTTTAGGTATGTGGTGCGTGTCACATTTTCGTTACCAAGACCAACATCTGGCCACACCTTGAATTAATGAGTTTCTGGAGAAAATAGTTTCTTGAGTTTCCAGCCTGATTTTGAAGTATATATGAATTCAGAGATGTATCAAGTTCAATCCTCTAATGCTTTCATGCAAGTGCAAAGTTTCAAGATGCGGACAGTGCCTTTGATGCAGTTGTTGTGAATGGGACCATGGCAGGTTGGGGAGACTAAATGTCTAGGAAGAGGTGGCATCCTCCTGGTGCTCTCCCACCTCCAAGCAATTTTTAGTCCTTATTGGCAGCAATATCTATGGTAATCATTGGAAATAGTATCCCCATGCTGGATACAATATCTTAGTTTTATGGCAAAAGAAGGGCATAGTAAAATATACTGTCTTTTACTATGCAGATTTTTGCAATTAGGCACCTGCAGCCACCCCTGAGACTCTTCTACTTTGAGTCTGAATTTTTCTTAGCATGAGATAGCAATTACTACTTCAATTAAATTTTTTTGCTTGGGAGATCATGGTCTTTCCAGTGATATGTAACTTGAATGGGATATGATTTTGCCAGAATTCTCACTTCTTCATCTTCCCCCCCCCCCCAAAATAGACCTTTTTATTGTCATTGCCTCAGAAACTCTGTGTTAAGAGATGGCAAAAAGGTTGTTCTGGAGGAAATGGTTTCCCAGGCAAGGGAATAAAAAAATTTTTTTGAATGCTTAGATGTACCTTCTGTTCTGTCTTCCAATGTATGCAAATGTAAAAATGTATGCAAATTAAGGGAGCAATGGAGACCAATATTTCAAACAGTGCCATATTCACTGTCATTGGTAAAAAGAATAATGAAGAAGTAAGTTAGAATCTTATGGAAATAGAACTGAAGGGCACTGACTAAATGGAATTTGTTGTGATGCCTCACAGATGTTCAACAAAGCAACTTGCAAGACATGGCAGCAGTGTTATCTACAAGGGAAAGAACATGGAGAGATCTCAGGAGACAGCTTGGAATGAGAAAGGATGTCACTGAAGGTTGTGTCATGATGAAAGGCAAGGAGGGGAAACAATGAGGAAAGGAAGCCAATGACTGAAGAATTTGGATTTTTTATTGTTCTGGTTATGCTACTGAAGGAAGGATTAAAATTGATAACTAGGAGAATACATTTAGAATCACAGCCAGAAATCTTTGAGATGAGTTTAATATGGGCTTTCAGTTGATATGAATAACAGAGATGCCAGGTGTCAATAAGAGCACATGACCTTGATATATACAAAGATACAAATGCTGTAATTGGAGGTAAGCCATGGGGTAGAAAGACCTAACTGGTAGGGGCATAGTGTCACAGGGGGCAGAGGAAGCAAGTGCCAACCCCCCTCCACTTTAAAAAGAAAATAAGCGAAACTAAGAAGGAAAAGACACATGAAATACACTAGAACTATGTCCCAGAGTTCCCATTTCCATCTGTTTTTACCAACCTATGCTACGCTTCTGTAATTAAATAAAAACATGACCCCTCCTGATGAAGCCTCAACACGGAAACAGTGGAGATGGCATGGAGATTTATGCTCGTGAGGATGTTAAAGAAACACCAGTGAGAATCATTTTCCAGTAGATGTCCCAAATAAATGTGTGCTATCTGGAGAAATGGATATGCAGGAAGGAAGACCAATATGGCTAAAGAAAGTTCTGAACCAAAAGGTGTAGAAGGGAGAAGCCCCTCTTGAATGAAGGGTTCAGTTTCATGTGCAAAACTTATTGAATACATTCCCCTTCAATAGATCCACCTTCCTGCAAACTGGTGTGCTCAGGATGCTTCCTGTGGTTATAGCACTGTTTTTATTCATTGAAGTGAACTATTGAAGGTGAAGGTATTCGACATAAGGATGAGTTCAGCCTGACAGATCAAGGTATCAGTTGAAGAGTGTGATGATTGTTCTTAGTGATACAATGTAAAGGGAAGCTATATACATAAGTAACATTAGGGGTACAACCATTAAGGCAAACAGTAGAAATAATTGAAACAATTAGATTGACATCTTTGCCAAAAGATCAGTAATTACTCGAGTGAATATATATTTTTTCCAAGGTACTTGGCACAGACACTTCTAAGTGGAAAAAAATGTCTTACTCATAGAAAACACCCTAGAAACCCCAACAATAGATGACCTGGATAGCCAGGTTTGTGAATTTTTGGGTAAAGGAAAGGGTCTGACTTACTGTTCAATAATTAGGAGGAATCATGAAGGTTTTTTTTTTGCTTTAACTATGTAGAGCTCTGTCCTGTGCAATGGGGACTGCACCATTGTTCTACAGTGTCATATCTGGAAGACCTCATTCTTCCAGAAAGTGCATGTTCTGAATCAGGTGGTGTTGCCATTAGCAAGCTTCCTCATAAAATAAGCTTGATGAAGCACTATCTTCCTTTAGCCACTTCCATCAACCAGGTTTTTTTCTCTATTGTATACACCTGTATATCCATTTTCTCCAATCATGAAACTTGAACCATGGACATTGCTGAAAATCAACCTGCTCTCATTTGCATATATTTTTTCACATCTTCACATGTGCAAGGCAGTTCCTTATTCATAGCATTTCCTGATATGGAAAATTTGTATTAATACTGAAGTTTACTAAAGGCTTCCTATCATCCAAAAAAATGTATCCTGCTTGGCTTACCTTCAAATGTTACAGTATTTCCTCCACCCATTCCAACATCAACTCTGGATTAAACCTCTCCCTTTAGAAGCTCCAATTCTTACATGACATTGCTTCTGAATTTATCCACCCTGATATTCCTTTTCATTCATCCATCAGTGAAGTCACTGGAATCAGATCATTTCTGCTGCTTCTCTCTTTTCCTTCCCTCGCTTGCCTTTCCTCATGGCAGGAACATCCATGGCATGTTCCCTCTTCTTGGGATGTCTCCCAAGATCTTCTTTTCCCTTTTGGATCACGCCATTGCCTCACCTCTGAGCTCTTCATTCACTTAAGGGACCTATATGGAGCTAAACCTTCAATTAATTCTTGGTGGTGGTTGGTTATGCTGGAAGCCATATGAGTACTGATATAACCATATCCTTACTAGTGCCATCTTTACTGTATAAAATTAATGAAGCCATAGTCTATGGATTTTCATATAACAAAAAGACTTTCATAGTCATAGGACTATGGAAGTCTTTTTGTTGTCAGTTCAGTGAATGACAGCAAGAACACTAAGAATGTAACAGCCAATTTGATGTCATAGCTATAGAAAGGTATAAAATGAAGTTTGGTCTATTTGCAGGTGGATAATCTCTTCCAGTTTTAGGTGCATTGGCTTACCATGATCAGGGTAGTGGCTTTGGTGGTGATTGAAATCTTGAGTGCACTTCCATTTGTCTCAGCAAGTGGGGGCTTTGACTTTGGAGATTTCCTTGCACTCTCACTTGGATTAATCATTGCAATCATGGGAATCTGTGCCTGCATTGGCTATTATGCTCGCAGACGTTCTGGACTTGCCCCCTATTAAGTCATATCATTACCACATTACTTCTCATACCATAAAAAAAAAAGAATGGGAGAGGTTGCACGAACTGATTTCAATGTGTTTGTCGGTGCCCAGAGTGGCATCTTGAAGGGTGTGAATGTAAATGCTACCCAGATCATTGGCAAGAATCTGAATCGCATTAAACAAGTTGATCACAGCTTGGAGATCCTTTGTCTTGAATGGGCTGACGATGCAGAGGCAGAACTTGTTCTTGGTCTACGTTCCGGAATGATACGCTTTTTCAACCGTGATATGAATGCCTTTACTGATTCTATTGATACTGGAACTCTGTTTGGGAAATTGGTTGGCATTGGCAGGTATGGAGAGCACATAGTTACAGCTACAAATGCTGGATATATTTGCTTGTGGAAGAGAAATGAACCAGACTTTGAAGATGTCTTGATTGAATTGGAATTGAAGAGAGGAACAATTTGTCGGATGCGCCAAAGTCCTCATGTTCTTGATCAAGTTGCTGTAGCTGGAAAGGCCTCCAACCTCAGAGTCTTTGACATGAATCGTCCTGACACCCCCATATTTGTTGGGAAGAATGCCAAACCGAATCAGCTAGGTGTTGTTCCTCCTATCTGGATCACTGACATCACATTTGTTGAGCCATCTGTATTGGCTGTATGCACCAAGCATCACAAAGTGAGGGTGTATGATGTCCGAGGTCAACAACGACGTCCTGTCATTGATCTCCCAGTTGAAGAATCGCCCTTGAATGTGATGGTTGTTGCTCCATCCCCTGGGCAAGTGATAGTTGGAAGTGCAATGGGGAGGATCTCTCGAGTTGACTTTCGCAAAAAAGGCATTGTTCGACACTACAAGAATGTTGTTGGTTCAGTCCGAGGGCTCGAGTGTCATGCACAATCCTCCACCATTGCCAGCGTTGGCCTGGATCGATTCCTCTATGTTCACGATGTGGAAAGTGGCCGCATTCTGTATCGAGTCTACCTAAAATCACAGCTGAATTGCATCAAGGTGTGCAAGGGTTTCAATCCCACCCTCCTGACGAAGCGTGAGGTTCCTGAAGAAGAATCTGACAGTGATGATGCAGCTGGTACCGAATACAAGAAGCACAAGCACCAGTAGCAGTTTGCTTTCTTCTCTCAAGCACTCTTATCAGCTTCATCCTCCTCGTGATTATATCATCATTGTCTTTTGAAAGGACTCTTCTCTGGTGAAAGCTTACATGAGATGTTTTGGATCTTTGTTTTTTCTCACCTTAAAGAGTTGCTTTTCCAAAGAATTTTGGGCTTCCTTTTCAAGTCTGAATGCAAGTCTTGTGCTTGTACTTTATTGCAGGAACACTGAAGTATTGACTGAAGACATTACTGCAAGGAAATAATAGGAAATGGGAGAAATTTAAGATAAATACTTTTGCTCCTATTTTTCTAAAATTCCTCATCATGCCAACAAGAGTTACTTTTCTAAGTTACTCTTTCTTTTGAGTTATCTCGAATCTGAATTAAAATCCCAGACTATGGAATTTTTTGTGCAGGAAATGTGTGATCCTGATTGCAAGCACTACTTGCAAGCCAAAGGGCAATGAAAATATTTCAAATAAAAAGTAAACATGGTTATGCCTCATTGTTCTCAATGTAGGGGCACAATGGTGAATCAATTTCTGTTGTGAAGGGGCCAAGTTATTGGCAGATATGGGGATCAACTGTTCATAGTTCCTCATTCCAATAATGTCTTTCCATTCAATAATGTACAACATGTCAGATTGTTAGATCACACTCTAAAAAAAAGATTGTGCCAGCTTATTTTTAAAGATGTCTTCATCCGGTATCATCTGAGCCTTGTGTTTTTCTGCACATCATCTCAATTGTGAGGAAGATCCCTGCCAGATTTAAAAATAATTACATCCAATGCTTCAAATTCAGCAACTTTTCAAAGTTGAAAGTGTCAGGAAAATAGCAAAATGTAGACAGAAACTCTGAAAAAGTACACCAGTTTGCGTGGTTCAACCCATGCTGAACCTGAACCTATGAGTGAGAGGCATTCTATGTGATGAAATTAGATTTGATGTATTATTCAGATGTGTTATAACGAATGCTTTTCATCTTTAAAATTAAAGGGTCCAAGTTTATTTCACCAAGTGCTTGTTCTCTTTAGTGAATCCCATGTTGTTTGTGATTTGAAAAGTCATAATTTATGTCACAATAATAATTGGATGAAGGGAGGTTCAGGCCTCCAGGAAATAAAAATCAAATTCATTTATTTACAAGTTAACACAAAGTAATCATAATAACGTTTGATGAAAGGTATTGAAAGCTGTGCACAGGTTCTTCCTTCACTGCTGTTTTATTGATTATTTGACTTCAAAAACTATTGCATTTGAAGCACTAAATGAAACTTTTTAACTTACCAGAAATCGTCACTATTCATCTGATAAGTCATGTGCATCATGGATTGCCTGCAATAACAACGGATGGAAATATTAAAACAAAATTAACTGGCTCCATTTTTTTTTAAGTGAGTAAAACTGGTGTTATGAAGAGGAACTTTACACCTGTATCCTCTTGAAGTACTTCCAGGCTTTCAAATTAAAGATTCGTCTGTTATGTTCTGAAAAACATACATTTGCCTTTTTTTCGTCAATTAGAAAGGCAATAGATCGGGGTAACGGTGGCTAGTGGTTCAACATTAGGGAACACTTTAGATTCCCTTTTCGAAGGAGACGTACGAGTAACGGGATAAAGGATATAAAGAGTTCCGTGGCATGTAGCAATGATCAGAAGTGTACACCACATACTGCATTGATTTGATTTTGCTTTCATTTCCATCCAACTCGTGGCGTTTCGTTTAAATCACGTCGTCTGGACTTTGTCTGCAAATGATGTAAGTTGGTCTTTTGTTTTCATAAACAGTTGAGAAACATCTCCATGACCTGCCACAGACAACCGCACACCACTGGAAGAGTTTGAAGGCGACGTATCCCCGCTTTGCTGCAAGATCGTTCAGAACCATGCCTGGATGATTCACAGTACACCGTATTGGTCTGGCGTGAAGTCAGTTGTATTTCAGTACGATCACTGTAGTCAGGGAAACAGTAGGTGAAGTTGCACTGATTCTATAGCACCGCATGCTGTTATTAGAAACTTAGCTGGTGATTCGGGTTTTTTCTCACATTTGTGTTGTCTATAACGGCTCCCAGCCGAGCTGCCAGAGGTCTTGAGCACTCTTTCGTTGATTTCTGGTAAGTTTTCGACTGACAAGATGATGAAAATTATGGCTCATACATCGTATGGCGATTGTGGGAGTCCTTTCCCATCCAGGATTAAACAAAAGGCTAGCCATCCTTTTTGCGCTGAATGACAATCCATACTTTATTCTTTTTTACGCCATTCCTACTCCTTTGCCTCCTCACTTTCGCAAGAACCAAGTACCTTGCGATCAGATCTTTTTTCAGAGTTGTTGATACTATGAGTTGTATTGCAGATTAGACATTTCTGGTAATGACAGAACTTTCTTCGGGAAAGAAACTTTCAATATATGAACCAATTATGATGATACAGTTGATTCGCCTCACGGAGACGGATCAACGTTTCAAAAGTAAGGTTGAAAGGTGTCCATAGTGATCATCGGTACAAGCTTAATGGTATAAATTTGGTTTGTAGTGCTGCTTGAACACAGTATGTTCTGGAGGTGAGGAGTTACGTTGATGGTTGTGATGGTAATACTTGATACTACTTATTTCCCCTTCAATGATGTATATGACTGAATGTAAATTGTGGTTTGAATCCCGATCTCCAGGTACTTGTAATAGTGAACTCGATCTTCTCTTCCCCAGATTTAAAGAACATGTTTGATAGTCATCCATATTTTTCAGAATTTTTTAAATTAAGCTTGTCCTTTGAGATATTCACAAGGATATATTTTCCTTCAGAGCCTTCAGGACAATTTCAGATCTCTCATCGGAATGACAACTCTAAGGGTGTATTTTTGAACAGAGCATTATCCGATAATGCAGCTTTATTTACCGGATTTATAATGCATTTTCTCTGAAATAAGGCTGCATTATCGGATAGTGCTCTGTTCAAAAATACACCCTAAGTCATCTGCAGGTATCGAGGAGCATCTAAACTGAAAGCGATTTAACTCGATCCTTTTTTTCGCGTTCAGGTACTTCGAAATGCTGGCCATTGTGAAGTCTTGCATGAGCATTGGGCTGCATTCGATTTTTTTCTGTCGAATGACAGGACTTCCTTTGGTCTTGCCCAGGATTTGTGCAAAGTGGGGAAGCATCCTCCCACTCATATCAAATGTATTAGCGTTATCAGAGTCTCCTTTTTGGCGGTTTAAGAAGTGGCTACGATGGGGTTCCCCTGTTCACGAGCGGAGGGAGGGTGTGTAAAGCGAAGGTCGGAGGGAGGGATGCTAGGCGAAAGACCGAGGGGGCCGTGGGGGGTTGAAATGCTCAACAAAAAGACCACTTCGCTATCGACCATCATGCCAATGCATCTAACGTTCGAATTCATTTAATCGTCTTTTTTACTCGTCGTTTCTGAAAACTACTATGGCAGGTGAAACACTAATGCATATTGAAATGATAGGGGGGCCTTCCCACTGCCTATGTTCTTGTTAAGAGGACATTCATCCCTCCTGGCTACATCGCTTCTCTGATGACATAAACGGAGTATATATTTGGACTTCATCTCATGCTGCTTCTCCGCTCCAGATCGACACAGCAACAACAATGCAGTATGCGAGTACAAACAAAACTCTTTCAATATCGCAACCTATTTTTAGGCCACATCCGAGGGTCCATCTCACCCATAGTGGGCATAGAATGAATTGAGAAAGATATTTAACTTTATGAGAGGATATGCGTTTTCAACTGACACTAAGACGCATAAATTATTAGAAAGCGGAGCCATAGAGAAAAATTGGACAGCTTTCCTTGGTAACATAATTGTCAGTTGAAGCTGATTCAGGTAAAGGACGGATTCAAGCCTTGAATTCTTTCGAGACATGAACTCCCCGAATTTCGACTCCCTGTTGCATGAAGAGTTTTGCGGGAATGAAGTTATCAGTCAAATCCTGAACGACTTCAGTCTGGAGTATTTGAGGGGAATATAAGGGAAGGCGAGTGAACGTTCAACGTACTTGCTACACTCTCGTGAGAAGAGCAATAAAGGAGTGGGCCTTGGAAGGTGTACAAGAAAAGACAAGATTTCCACTCATTCCATACCCCTCTCTGCTTGTTGCAAGCATGAAGCCGTTTATGAAAAACATAAAAAAGAGAGTATTTTCTCAAGGTTGCCACGAATTGTAACATACTGAAGCTAGAAATGAATTCCCTTTGTGAGGGCATAATGACATAATGGAAGCGGAACTCCAACGGATTTCGGCATTGTATGCAGTGAAAACGGGCGCGTTCCCCCCTCCCTTTTGAAGGCACAACTACACAATACCCTTCTCCCCTAAAAATCAATACCTTGGCTCTGATCGACCCATACGCACATTGTTTATACATGAGCGTACGTAGGGTGAGCCCTCTCGTGCGTACGTCAAGGCACGATACAACCAATACCATGGACAATTTATTATATGTAGAATAGCCATTCACGTAAACCAGAGGCATTTGGCCAAATATCTAGAATTTTCCACGAGAGGACCCGACATCGATCCATCTACCCAGTACTGAAAAATCCAATATTCAAACGTCATCGAATGTAGATAAACCTATAGACAAAACCGCACCATCTTTCAAAACTAGGCGCTGCAACGAGGCGCGGGAGGGAGGGAGGGAGTGCGGGGAGGGTATCGATCAGCTCCATATACGAAAATTCCCCTCCAACGATGGGAGAGTGCGGGAAATGAAAGGGAGAGGAAATTTCCAATGCCTAGGAGGGCGAGATGGCTGGACGGGGATTGGCTGGCAGAGACAGGGGGAGAGAGAAAAATAAATTGGAACTAAAAACACGAGAGAGAGTGCGTGAGGTGAGCGAGGGCTGTGACTGTGAGTGGCTGGTAGCTTGTAGGGCCGAGAACAAGGGTGGCACCAAGCGAGACGCTCTGGAACTAAACGCTTCATCCCTCTGTCCTCGTCCCTCCCCTCTCTCGCTGCAGAGCTCAACGCAGTTCCTCCCTTCCTTCCTCTGCCGCTTTGCTTCACTCACGGTCCACTCGGTAAGTTTCTCTCATTTTTCACGCTCCTTCGCCCGGGATCCCCGGCCTGGAATAATTTTTACAATTTCAACCATATTCGGAAGCGTGTGTGAGAATTTTCCCAGGGCCCAGAAAAATTTCTGGGGCGAGGGATAGAATAATGTTTTCGGGTTTTTCGAGAAGAGGTGAGGGACCGGCCGGCTAGAGTCCCAGTAGGGCGCATGCGTCACATTCCCGCCCTTCTCACTCCCTTGTCTGCCTACCCTAGTTCCCGCCACTTCCAAATCTCCACGACCTTCCATCGACGTAACGGCTTTGCTTGCTTAAGGAACGTGCCACGTGGGAAGTGCGATTGGGGTAGGCCTAGTCCTATAATTTAGGCTACATGCTTAAGCTGTCACGAGCGCTGTTAATGCGGAGCGGAGGTCGTGGTAATGGGTCGAGTTCTGCAGTTCTTTTTTGAGTTAAACACCTTTTCAATTGTTGCGACACCCGTCCTAGTCAGTATGCACGGGTGCATGATTGCATTGGGAAAAAAAGCTGGACTCGAGTGAGAAACACCATCCAACGTTAGGCAGTTACAGGGTAGCCTTGGGAAATTTCTGCCCTAAAAAGATAACTGGTGTCGGTGAGTGTGGGGCTTTGCAGAAAAAAATGGGCGGGCATAAGGTGGTTAAAATTATTCAGATCAAGACTGCACGAGCTCATTCTTAATTGGTGTAGACGTAGCGTCGGCACACGCCTGTTTAACCTGACGTTTGCCTGGCGGCTGGACGACCGGTACGGTTAGCCTGTCGAAATAGTGCTTTCGCGAAGAGGCCACATCCTGACAATACAAGACCGTTGTTTTTTGTGCGCCTACCGACGCAAGCAGAACCATTTTCGCGGGCTTCGCGTAAGACGTAAGGTAGAATTGTGTTTGTCCAAGGTCGTAATTCCTGTAGCATCAGCGCTCTTGTAAGCCTTACATTTGTGTCTACCCTGTGGTTCTTACATGTCTTGAAAATTATTTTGAATACAAAAATTTTTGGAATTTTGCAGAGGTTCCAAAATGAAGTGCACCGCTTTGTTAATTTAATCCAATTGGAGGGTGTTGTAAGTCTTTCTTCAGTCATCAACTTGTTGATTTTTTGTGCCCATGATCCATCTTATGCAGGAATTATGTGCAATGAATATTTCTCATGAAATGAATACCAACAAATAACATTTGGTGCTCTTCATACCCAAAATTCATTTTCCATTGTGTATAGCACCCCTTAAAAAAAAGTGAATCATGAGTTGCTTGTCTTGTCATTTTCAAAGATGAGTGCATGTGTGAAGTGCAAGTGTGGAGTGCAAATGTGAAGAATGAGGATATGAAATTGTGTAGTTCTGTGAAATGATTGGATTTGCTTGATTAATCAACCAAGTACATTTCTAAGCAAATCGACCCATTTCCCAATGGAAAGGATAAGGATAGGACAATCTGAATAGAACTATACAGGATAATTTGACTCCTTATACTGGTCCTTTTTGTCAGTCAATTCCCTAATACTTCATTTCTTTTTTTTCAGTTTTTTAAGCAGGATGTCTGACACTGAAGCATCACTTGAGCCCAAGAAGCGTGGTCGTGGCAGACCAGCAAAGCCAGATAAGGTGACTTCTTTGTGACTGTCTTTATTATATTCCTTATGTGCCTCAGATTCCAATATTTGGAAAATGGAAAAAATATCTTAATTTTCCTGTTAACTCTGTCATTTTGAAGTGCAGAACTTACTTCAGAGGCCCGCAGATTGCTCACAGACCAAGCCTTTTAGAAGAAACTTAAAATATTTGTTTTTCTTTTGGTAGGCAAAGAAAGAAGTTGCACCAAAGAGGCAGGCAGCTGACAAGCCATCTGGCAGCAGCCCATCCAAGAGAGGTCGAGGAAGACCACCCAAAGGTGAAGCCAAGAAGAAAGCCAAGGTATACCCCATGATACTGTTTGCACTCCCAATGCCATGAAATTATTTGATTCTGATTTATCAGTACAGTCTCCTTTTTTCCATCAGTCATCTCCTAAGGGTCGAGGACGTGGTGGTGGCACTGGTCGTGGACGCCCAAAGAAGGCAGGTGCTCCTGCCAAGAGCAGTGACGAGGAGGCTGAAAAGGAAGAGAGTGAAGAAGGCGAAACCTCTGAATAAGGCCCTTTCCATCATCCTCAGACAACTCCGTAGGCCTAACTTGTGTTTAGTTTAGGCCATCTACTTGGTGTCCATCTCTCTTTCATCAATATCTCCTGTCTTCAAGTAGTGTAGGTCGAACTTGTGTACAACACTCGATTCAAGTACAAAGTTCGCGTTCCATGCGACCCACATATTTCTCTCATCTTTTCCTTTCATCCTTTTGAGTTGTCTGTCTTGTGTCGTTTGAGGAAATGAATGTGTTCTCATAATTCTCACTTGAGTTTCAGTTTGCTTCTGAGTCATTCTGTGACTATGATAAAAAAAAAGGTCCAGTTAGCACCCTACCATTTCAGATTTTTCAAGTTTTTTCTACAGAGTATCACTTACAAAACCTGATTTTCTATCACCCTGTTCAGATTAATAAGCCAAATCCCATAGAAGGGTCAAATTTCAAATTCAAACTGTTAAAACTCTGATTAAATAACCAGTGATGTACCTGTTAAGGCCAGCTTTTTATAATGGGCTATAGAGCAGGAAAATTCCTAGAACTAAGCATATGTAGCATGCACACCTAAATTGACATGGGCTACCAACATGTATACATATCTCTCCATGCTGGATTGTTTGTGCTGCATTTACTTAGTAGTTGGAATTATGTTTTACCCATCACAGCCATGTCTCATAAACTGTCCTTGGCACCCAGATTTTGGTGCCTCTGGAATATAGTAGTGGTATCCTTGGCTGAAATTCATGTGAAAAGAAGAAAGCTGCCAAAATTTTTCGAAACGTAAGCAAGCCAGATTGGAGATACCCAGTTATGACGTCAGCCCTTAACCCTTCACTGGCTGGTTTTCAGACATGGACACAAATGTGCACATTTTGCACATCAATTTTTCATGGATGCTGATGGCATAAACCAAGTACTTAAATTTCCCATTTTGGAGGGTTGACCTCATTCAAAAGGATGAAGGAGCAGGTTAAGCTTTAGGCTGCAATCAATATTCTCAAGAGTAAGCTGGTCACATAAAAGATAAACTGCCATTATAAACTTGGATCTTAGAAAGGTGATTATTTTCAAGCAGGAGTTTAACACCCAATCTCAAGCTAAATCAGTCCAGGATAGAGTTGACCAAAAGTGAACAAGATCTGGAATATGGGTTATTCCACAATGGTATGTGGAGCCATTCAAGAGCCATTGCTTATGAATGGCTTCTGAGTCATATTGGAGAAATTATTTTTTTTTAAGGATAGGGAGGGATAAACCCTCCACAAAACCCACTCATGGTCTTGGGTGTTGTAGTATGGATTCTCCATAGCACAAGAAAGAGAGAGCAAGCACAAGGGAGAGAGAAAGGTCACAGAAAACGATCACCTCTTCAATCTTCTGAACTATTGGGGTGATTTCAAAAAGGAAAACACTAGTAAGGAAATCCAGAACTGCCCTTTGGCATATTCTGAAATTAAATCCTTCAAGTTAATACCAGATGTGGTTGTTGGGCATTCCAGCCATACAATGTGAGGAATTTTTCCTGCCTCCTTCCTTAGATTTGGTGTTAAATACTTGAGGTATGAAGAAATGACAAAACTGCAGGACAAAGTCAAAAACCCAACAGAAATGCAGAAATTTCTCATCCCATCCTCACTGGAATCACAAAAGCCATTCAGTCTTGACCTACTGAGTAAAACAAAGTAGCAAACTTAGGGAGAACATAGGAATGTTTGGGCAGCCTGAGATTCTCTCTTGCTTCAGCTTTTCCTGAAATTGGAAAAGCTGAAGCAAGAGAGAATCATTATTTTTGACCTCAAAGAACTGTGAAACAAATACCAAGAAGGGAAATATCCATTTTGACTTTCCAATTTTGCCTCCTTGTAATCCTTTTGCTATGTTCTACCAGGCCTCAAAGGTACATGTATGTTTGTACATGTCACCTGGATCAAAGCAAATGCATTTGCCCTCTAGAAAGCAATACTTGAAGGGATAATGACAAAGACTGCACCTTTGAACCAGAGAGCTACAAAATGATCATCTGCACAGAATTGCTCAGGAAAAGAGGGAACACTGAAGGATCCTGAACTTCTGTGAGCAAGATCTCCAAGATGCCCAATAGAAGCAATTGGAATTGACAGACAAGTCTAGCTTCTTACTATCATGGAATCTGTTGTCCTCTTTGAGAGAACCTTTGCACTGAGATTGTCTCACAAGACATCACAGTATTCTCTGAAAGAGAGTGTCAATGCTTCTGAAGTCATCATCCTATATTTTCACAGAACTATTCTTTCACAATCCAGCCTATGGCTGCCATTGGGAAGGTTCCCAGGCAACAATTCACCCATTCATTGGTTATCACAAAGAAGGAAGCCTCAAGTATGTCAAGCAATGTATCATCAGTGACTCAATCAAATACTTAACAGCAGCTATGTATGTCTTTCAATCTGAGCTTCTCCCTGCACTGCATGGTAGCCTCTCCACCTGAAATAAGTTGACTACATCAATGATGGTACTACTGCTACATGCAAAAATGGACTAATTTTATTCAAGATTTGTCTCTGTTATCAAAGACACAACTTCAGCTTAGCTTATGACTTTTTTGCAGCTTCACATGGGATAGGCCCAAGTGATGGCACTGGGGATTCAGTGAGGAGGGCGACAGTGAGAGTCAGCTTGCAAAATCCACCTGATGATTCCTTAAAGACCTGCTTGCATTTTGTTGAAGTACTTTCCAGAACATCATTTTTGGAGCAACGTGAAATTGGGAAAACAATTGAAAAGGTTCAAAATTAGCTTTGCCAATCAAAGCCACACAACACCTATTGAATCTGTCCCATTTCTGAGACCGTTCTCCAAGTCCCAGACCTTTCCTGATGTGAATCTTTCTCTACTGTGCGAGTCTCCTTCCAGGGTGATGTAAATTCCATTGACAAGAAATAAGCAGCCTTCATAGCTGCTGAATTTGCCAAAAAAAAAGAAACTTCCACACCCTCCATAGTGAGGAGAGAGAATTATTGTTTTAGAAATATTGATAACACGTAGGAGGAATGTGGAGACACTCTCATGCATCCATGTGGAAGTATGGCAGTTTCAATAGCCTGTGAAAGAGGACAATCACTGCATACCTTTTGAGAATATGCTATGAACTCTTTAAATCCAGAGTCTGAAAGCCTCATCTACAGGAGCCAATACAGTGATGGACCGGGATCCCAAAAAGTTTGAGAGATTTGAAGAAAAAAAAAAAAGGGTAAAAACCAAGGAAATAATGAAGCTTAATGGTTGGCCAATGGTTTATGGCCTGTATCTTGACTATCTATTTTTTATTTCACGATATTTTAGAATGAGGTACCATAAATTCCATTGAATTGAATAAAATGGGTTTGCTTTCATGTTCCTTCTCTAAAAAAAAAAATGTTTTTCTTTTCCCTATTTTAATATGCAGAGAAAAGCCAATGATCCTTTGCATGGGTTTTTCAAAATATTAACTTCATAATTTACATTCAGGGTTTATTTATGAGGTAAATTTACCTCAGCAAAGTTCCTTCTTTATTTGTGCCTGAACATTTTTTTTCATTCTCAGAATTTCCAGGAAATTGATGCCTCAAACCCTTATCCAACTCCCTGGTCAACTCACATTTCACAATTTGTAGTGCATTCAAACTTTTGAACCATTCAGCAAACAAGCTGAAGAAATTTTATGGTTTTGGGTGCATCCTGTCAGCCAAAGCATGCATGCCTATGAGGGGAATATTTGGTCTCCTTTCAAAATGTGTTATTTTGTGATATATCTACTAATACTATACTTCTGTAGGCTAGAAAATAGAGATGCTGAAGTCAGTTGTGCAAAATGCAGGGTGTTGCAAAACCAATTCCCTAATGGGATACCCTTACATTTCTCTTTGTCTCAAAAGTCTTCAACTCCACCCTTGAAGCTAATATTAATGGTATTCATGGCCCACAGCAACCACACTATTTAAACTTAGGTATTGCTGCCATTCTATTATTTTATAATTTTAGTACATTAAAGTTTTGCAGATTTCCTGGGCTGCCAGGGAGGAAATCAACAAGTTTGAAGAACACAGAGAACTATAATAGTTGGAAAGAGCTGAAGGAGCTTTACTTACTGGAATAAACCTAATTTCACAAAACTTGGCAATTAAGTAGAACTAATCTGCACAATTCAAAGTGAACATTTTTCCATAAGCAAAAAAAAGTCTGTAAAAGTTTTAGACCAAATTTACGTTTTCTTAGGAACAAAAATATTAATAAGTAAAATATTAGAGTTGACCCAAAAATAATGAGACTTTGATATTAACAATATATCTATGTAATTTTAAAACATAAAAGTTTGAAAAACAGGAAAATCAATCATCAATGACTGCTATGGTAAAGTTTAAAAAAAATTATTTTTGCATTTGGGTTTAAATTCAAATCTTTTCATGCAGCATTACTTGTTAGTGCAATGCATGGAACACACCAAACAATTTTATATGGGGAGATGGCAACTGTTGCATCCACCATTGACAATCCAGGGGTGTCATCTCCCTATATAGAGCATAGATTCTGGTGAATGCTGGTATGATTGGTGCCATGTTTCCATTCTGTGTACACTTAAAATCTAAAATTCTCCTGTTTGTGTCACAAAAAGACCTTGCCTGGATAAGGGTTAATATTCTCCTGTTGCAACCCAGGAATTCCCAATACATTAGCATACATGAAGGAAGAAAGCAAGATCAGAAATGGTTTTTTACAACCACTTTTAATTTATTTTATGTCTTCCCTTTATGGATGCACATCCCTTAATCAAAACATGAGATGAGCAACTTGCCATTGAATCACCCTTTTATACTCTTGAATTTCAAGACAGGGCAAAAAAAAGCTGTGTTTTTTTTAATTTAAAGATTAATGTAGACAAAACTCAGGCACTAGTTTTAACACAACTAAAACCTTCAAAGAAGCTATGATTTCACTATACCCAGTCATATATTAAAGGAAAGCCGGAATCAGGAAGATTTACCAGTCCTAGGAGCATTGGAACAAACTTTGCAAGCATATCTGTTCATAGGCTGACAAGTTTTTCCTTATCATTGTACCAAATACCATTGTTCCTCAATGGTGACTTTTTCCATGTCTATCATGTTTCCATGTCATCATGTGTGGTTATTGCTTATTTCTTCATTGAACAAAATTCATTGGTTCATCAGTTTTATTCTTGTTATGACAAGTCAACAGTGGATGTGTAACTAAAACAACAGAAACAGTTGGCTCCAATCAGTGCACCA